GGATCTCTTTTTTTCCCCCTCTTCTCCCCGCTGCAGCCTAGCAGCTGATCTCAGAGCACGCTCCCCTCTCCTACAGGGGGGCGTGGTCAGTTGCAGCTCACAGAATCAGCCCCCTGCAAAAACAGGGCTGGAAAGAGCAAATAAAGCGAAATAAGGCATGGCTAAAATGCAGGATCTTTTTGGTATTTTGAAAAAAAAAACGACATTTATATACTTTATATAGGTATGGCCCTACAATATATTGTTCAAATATAGCATGATAGGTGTCCTTTAAATATGTGCGGATATTGCAGTAATAACACAACTATTTAGATCCTTATAAAACACTTTATAAATACTGCCATTTCAGAAAGAAGAAACACAATTAGTAGACTTTAAGTTTGAGTTCCTATGATAAATCTTGAGTGTCTTTTTAAACTAAATAGTTTTAAAGGACTGCAGTAAGGTTGTTTTATTGTGACAAATTATCTCGATCCATTTTTGTGGGGGAAGATAAATGTAGCTACAGTAATTAAAAAAATAAGTAACAAAATGAAAAGGTGAGAACTATATAATTACAGTATGGCTGTTGGTAGCATGTGATTGAACCCACAGTTGTTATGAGGTTAGACACACCTGTTGTTATTGTGGTTAGGTGTGAAGCAATGTCTTTATAGCAGCCAAAATGTACTCACTCTTTCATCAAGATCACTCCTCTAATAATGACAGTTCTACAGGACCAAAATGACTAGGATGAGACAAGGTTGTTCAACAAAACAAAGCAACCTGAATGACATTGCTGAAGTCTTAATGTTTCTTCTTTGTATACGCAGGGTATTTTCTTCTGCTCTACTTTGAAAGACTCTATTATATCTAATGATCCCTTAAAAGGCAACTCCTACTTATCATGATATAAAAACCACACTGTGACTCTCATCAACCCTATCATTTATGGTCACAACCTTTTGAGCCAGCGGTCACCATGCTCTTAAAGTGATCATGAACAAAAGTCAAAAAGGAAGGAAACCAAAATGACCTGTTGAAAGAAAACATGTCTCACTTTTCTAAATTAGTAATATGATATGAATGTCCCGAATTCATGAGAAATCCACATTAATCTACAAATCAACCACATTAATCATTATTAATTATACTTTTTAGGTTGTTCAAGCTCCTCATACAGATGAACACAGCAACAACTATTGCAAACAGCTGCTCTTGAACAACAACTCTACACCTCTGCCAAGCAGGTTTGTACATATCATTTTGTAGTTTACAGAGCAAACGTAAAACAGACCCAACCTGCAGAATGCGTAAACAATAAGAGTTCAACCGGCTACCTGAGATCACATGACAAACAGACACCAACAATCTGAATAGCAGAGGTTTTGAAAGTCAACGATACAAATGAGAGCATCCTGTATATAAAATAGTCTTCATGAATGAACTAAATATGACCCTGAAACACATTTTACTCCAGCCTCAGGTTATCTTCATGAACACCTTCATTCCCAGACATTACAATAAAAGCCCAGTGTTCGCAGTAATTACACACATTTGACAAGTTCCCCCGAGCAAGTTCCCTGTCTCAAAAAGTAATTAAATGACAGACAGAAAGTCAGCTGAGTCAGAAGGAGCATAAATAGAGAGACAGGTGTTCAATAAAATAAGCAAGAAAAGAAAAGTGTCACCCTGGTGCCCAGTGCTCATAATAACTGTAATTTCAGAAGCATCAGCAGCCTTTTATTCTGTTACTGCCATGCCCTTCTCACCAACTGACGCCTGATATGTAATGTAGAGGCGCTTTTTTTTAGAAAATGAGAATGCCCTCAGTAACCCCTTTAAAGGAGCAATTTCCCTCGAGAAAATATCTGTGTAATGAATGCCAGAATCCTACCTTTGATATCGAACCTATGACATAAAGTCTGTGTTTTCTGTAAGTCTAATTGGATTCAGGACCTTTTCAACTGACGTAAATAATACAGTACAACATAAACAGATTTCTGAAAACAAGTCAAACTGCTCTGGGAACAGATCAAATCATATCACTCACTCAACATCAAATGATCTTTTGTAAATAATATGCATTTTTAGACTGAATACAAGGTAATTTGCACATAATCACATATAGATTTAGGGACCTTTGATCATATAGAGACAGCGATAAGAAATGTTGCAGGCAATATTATCTGCACATTTATTTTTGGAGCAGGATTTTTTCTAAAGTATACGCAGAAGTATTTCTTGTGCTACCTCGATGTGGTAACTCAATTCAATATTAACAATGTTTTTTAATTGCACCCTTATCAGCCACTTACAACCCACAGATACACTTAATGGAAGTCTTTATTATACTGCAGGTGTGATTCATGGAGTCTGATCGACAAGCAGAAGCTTGTTTTATGTCTCTTGTGTCTTCTGACAGAGAGAGAGATAATGATGATAAATCGGAGACAGACAGATCATTGGATTAAGCGGTCTAGTGATTTTTCAAAAACAAGCAAACCTCCCGAGTTTAGACGCTGCATGCAGGCCCCATATAAAATACCTCGCTTCAATGTAGTTCAAAGTGAAACTGTATTATATAGTTATATTGTCCTTTTTTTTCTTCTTCTGTTGTTCCTTTATTGGTTATGTGAGCAAGAAAAGAGTAAAGCTAGAATAGAGTCAGATCAAATTTCTTCCCCCGCCCTGAGCCCACAATCACAAACACAACAGCACCAATTATCTCTCAGAGCCCTTCACCCCTCACTTCTTATTCTGCTAATGTCTTACTGCACTCTCAGAAGCAGATCTGAAATGCACCTCTTCTATTAAAAAAAATCACTTGCATATCACAACATCAGCACGATACGAATGTAACTTAGAATATACTAGAGTAGAAGGCCTTATTGTTTAATTTTCCACATGTTATTAGCTAAGACTGATTATCAATTCGGATAATGTTCATTGTTACTGATCAAAGGTGACAATTAATGACTGTGAAAATAAAACTATAACTAGGACAAATATTTATAACAGTCATAAACTATTAATATTATAAAAGGTATTCAAGCTCAGAGTACATTGTTCATTGTGGTTTGATGCCCCCTAGTGGGAACATGTATTATAGAGCTCAATATACATAATACATTCAAGTGTTTGCTACTTGCTATTGTAAAAACTAATTAAATAGCTGAATGCAGAGACATGATTCATGGTTTAAAAACCTTTCTCCCTCAGATACTTCAAAAGTCAGAAATGTCACAGTACGAGAGGCGACCACTTGATTGATACAGGCAAGTTGCTGAGTATAACCACAATATTAGATTAAGTAAACATTTCTTATGAGCAATGAGCAGATTTTTTCTAACCCCTTACTCTGGAATTCTGCAGACGTAGGATAATTGAGTTGGAGACTCACCAGACTTAAGCAGATAAATCCACTTATATTCTTACTTTAAGCCTGTTCACTATTTACATGAATACAGTCAATGTTTTAACAGAGAGTCTGGGTGAAAGCGTATCACAAATGGAAATCTAACATGTTTTTCCAATCAAAGTGCTGTAATGTTAGTTTCTTTTACTTTTATTGCCTTGAATTTAAGGGATATTAAAAAACAAATCTGTGTACTTTAGGAAAAAATATAGCAGTTACACAGGCTAAATAATGACAGAAGTATCAAACTCTGTTTTGATTTAGTTGTTTTAAATTGCGTTTCGCAGATGGTTTTATTTCCAGCGATGTCAAACAGTTGATCCCATCAGAGCTTTGCTTGTTTACAGTCAGTAGCTTTTTAGCATTTTCATGGTGCTCCACACTGTCCCGCCAACCAGTGTCACCAATCACATAATCCCATAGTTACACCTTTGCAAAAAACAACTAGGATGCTCATCCAAATAAAAAACTGAACAAAACCTTATGAATTATTTTCATTTCTATATCAATTTCACATAGAAGAAGAAACCCTTTAATATTGAGATTTTAAAAACAAGAAAACATCACAGATTGTGGTGTTTTTGACTCGACATCAGGTGTTTGGAAAGTTTGAATGGTGTATTGTTGGATAACAATGTAGACAAAGGACAGAATAGTCAATCTAGCATGCTTTTATGTTATTTACAAGATAATAAGTAAGTTTAGGGTTGACAGCTTTTAATGCTCCCTGTCATTATACAATGCTTAACAGAGTGAACTATTTGCATTTTTGAAGTTTTGGAATAAGAGGATTTGTATTCTCAAATTGTTTTAATGATCTAAGTCAATGAAAGAATACATCCCTGTGATGTAGTAAGAACAATAGGGTAAATAACATTTTCTTGCCAAACCGCTGCACTGTTTTGACTGCCTGTTGTCCGTGAATATTTTCAGGACATCATGCGTATTCAATTGGCTTACAGTACTACTGGACCATAATTGGCTTTAGCACATTGCTTTCCAGCTTGTTGCATAACATGGACAGGATTTGCGCAATCAATAGAGACAAACAGCCTCCCTCTGTCTCTCTGCCTGCTCCGTCTCTTACTTTTCGCTATCTTGCTTCTCCTTTAGTCGAAAACATTTAGTATTACAAACAAACTGTGGCCACAGAAGGTTCCTGATATCATTAACCCCTGGCACATGTCCAGTGCATGGTATGACTAACAGGTGAGTTAGTATAATAGGACTAAGGACTGACCATCATACCACCAGTAAGCTTATTACTGATCAGTGTTTATTGTGTTGTGTTTGGCTGCATTCTCTTGAGCTCAGGAGGGATCACAGCCACTTACATGACCAAAGTGCAACATGTTTTCAAACTCAAATGCCTACAAATGTTTGTTTTTCTGCTCCGAACAGCTAAGCTATATGATTTGTTTTCATATTTAATACCAAGGGATTCATATTCAGTCACAAATGTATATATTGAAAGTGAAATATACAATTTTAACAGCACAAAAAGTACAACGTTTCAGTGATATTGTTTAGAAAAATATTCTTTCTTTTTTTTTATCTTTCAAGTTCACACAATTCACCACAGCAGCAGTAAATTCTCCTTGGATAAACATTGGATGGACACAGAGTAGGAGGAGGAAATTGATTGAAACCTTGTCCAGGTTTTTCACTGTTTTTGCTTAATTTTCTTCCTCCTCTCACTTCTCCAACACATTATTGCATCTGTCCATTTACATTATCACACTCGCACTCTTTCTCTCCCCCTCGTTCTCTCTCAGCTTCACACTCTCTCTCTCTTTAGCAGGCTCCAGACTGCAGAACAGGCTGGAACTCTCCGGCCATGCAGATGTCATCCTGTTTCTGACGGACGACGCGCTGGATGGCTGGAGGCAGGCCACGGGGGTTCCTGGAGAAGATGATGGCGTAGCCGTCATCGCAGCTACCATCTTCCTTCATGGTGCGGCAGGCGTAGGTGATGGCGTAGTTGTCATAGTCGGTGTCGATCACCCAGTAGTTGTCACCTGTTTCAAAAAAGGAAAGGAGAGGTTAGCCGAGGAGGAATGATGAGATGTAATATGGGTGTGAGGGGGACATGTTTGCTGCTGACCTCCACTGGACAGGTAGCTGGCCAGACCCTGGTAGTTCATGAACATCTTGCCCGGGGTGGTAGGGTCGGGGACAGAGTACTGTGCAGCCATGTCAGCGCAGACAACCCAGAAACTGCAACACAATGATAGAAAAACACATACAAGTTAGTATCAAAGTCAACAATTCTCAACAAATCAGTGGTATTTCTTGCAGTTACAGTAACATTATTAATGTAACATACAACAATTCTAATGTCAAAATTGAAATGAGACTATTAATCTATGACATGGGCATTTTCAATTGAACTTCATACATGTGTTTGTATGCTAAAGTGCATTCGAGTCCACATTCCTGTCTAAAAGCCCATGTCTCCAGCCTTCATTTCTCTATAATCATCCATAATCCAGAGAAAACCAATTTGTAGCTAATACTGTTCAGAATGTTCTTCCAGAAAATTGCACTCGATCCTAACTGCTGACCCTGGAAACTGAATATTTGAAAATCCAGATGCTTATCCTGGAGATACAAACAGGGCTTTGTGAGCAAATAGACCAGTGACCTTGGATTTGCATGGTAATCGTATCCGTCAATAATGGTAAGTGTTGGTGAAAAGTGTCTCATCCCTGTCTCTCCTGGCCATAGGTCTTACCCAAACAGAGTGACGCGTCCCTTGGAAGAGGCGGACATGGAGCCGTCATCATCGATGGTGTACTCAGCGGAGATGTTGTCCTGCAGGAACAGGCCCTCTGGATCTTTCTTCTGCAGTGCGTACCATTTTCCTGCATACTGCGATGAGAAGGAAGGAAGCAGACAGTCAGTAATGCTTTTACTTACTTTTCTCAACATGCATATTGTCTTTGTGTTTCAATTGACTTACCCTCTTAGGGTCAAAGTCATCTTTGACTGTGAAGCTGTCAACCACACAGGAAGCAGACAGACTGAGCTCTACACAGGACACCAGGACCAGCAGCAGGGCCACCTTAGAGGATCCCATTCTGTGATGAACACACATTTTGTAAACAGCATTATATGACACTAATCTGTGCATGTTTGGCTTTCGGGATAACATCCATGATCTGTTTTATAGCCTACTAATATACTGTAAATGCAACAACAATATGTTGTAGCAATTGACATTAGTAAAAGAAAAATGTAGCACTATCTGATAGACTGGAACAACACAACACAATACAAATAGATATTCTGAGTTCAAATATGAATACCATAAACCTGGACTAATCTTGCATCTTTACACTGTAAAACCATTTTATATAGTCCAGTGATTATTTGCAGTTGACAAAAGAAAGTGTATGTTGTTAAGTCCACAGTTCCCTTACAGACAATCTAGCAAAAGTAGAAGGTAAACAGAGTGAGATGGGAGTGTCTTACCTGTTCTGAGTCAAACAAGCAAAGGCGATTAAAGTTCTGTTCGTGGTTATCCACCAGATTCAGTCTTGTGGTTCTTCTGTGTGTGAGGCAGCCTTTATATACACACACTCCACAGACAGGCTTATGTCTGATTTTCATTGCTGGGAACTAAATAAGGTGCTTAAATCTACAAGTAATCCTGTTGGGTTGAAATACTTACTGTAATCTGGCTTCCACGTTAAAACCTGGCCGGGATTTACCATAAAAACAATTAGACCTTGGTGGAACTATTGGGAAGCACAGTGATACAGGCACATGCATGAATGATATCCGATGATTTGTGCGAGAGCTTACTGAACTGACTACAATTTTAAGTGTCAATAAAATAAATAAATTAGACATAAATGGAATTGTTTCTGATTGAAAGAAAAATCAATGCAGGTTAACAACAAAACATTTGGAGTTTTTTTCTTGCTTATTTAGAAAATAATCACATGATTTAAACAGGCTTTTAATATCATCTTGTCAATGCAAAGTATATGCACAATTATTATTAGTAAGAAGTTTTGCACAGTACCTATATTCACTACGTATGGCATGAAACGGATTTTCATTGATTTATTTTTCAGGTTATAAATCTGTTGATTTGCACACAACACCAAGTCAATGTCGTGTAATTGTTGTGAAAATGTTTATGGCAAAGGGCCCCACTGGTACAAAAGTCACAAATCCGCTTATGAAACTAAACTTGAAAAACGGCATTAGTGGCATTAACAAGACAGCAAGCTTAAACACTTTACAATTAAAATGTAAACCATACAGCTATTCAAATCAATAACAACATAATTATACTAAATTACCTATTAGTTAACCTAGAAAATGTCCACTTTTTAAGGTATACACTGAAGCATACATACACTTATGCATTTTTCTGAGAGTGAGATTAAAATCTCAAATATTTTGATTGAGCTCACCGATGCATGTACTGTTCAAATTACCAGACTATTATTTCAAATAATTCACAAGTCATTGCATTACAACGGAATTTAAATAATGCACATAAAATAAAGACTACATAAGAGCCACAATAAATACATTTACTAGAAGTACACATGGTTGAATCCGTTACAAAGTGTAATGATGAATTACATTACATTCAGGATGAATGAATGCATATATTTAGCATTCTTCTTTGTGAATAATGGGATGAACAGCTTATAATAACAACACTTGTAATTCAGTTACATAACAGTGCATTTACTATACTATGTTTGAGAAGGCGTTACCTGTCAACCTACTGTATATTAAATGAAATGGGAATCCTTACCTATAACTTTGAATGCCTGGATGCATGAATGCAGTTATGCAATTACACCTACACAGACAAACACACACCTCTCTCTCACTGTGAACTAATTAACTCTCGTTTCCTGGACTAGCCCCGGTCACAAAAGATTACTGACTGAATATTGATACGCAGAGTGAAGCAGGTAGGACCCAAACGCAGATAGCACTTGATAACACCTTTATTTCAAGGACTTAATTATACTTGGACAGACAAAACACTCTACGGTGAACTAGGTCACAAACAAAAGAAGCACCAACACTGAACACAGGAAGAGACAAGACTAAATACAGGGAGGGGTAATCACAAGACGAGAAACAGCCGGGCAGGGGAGGAGAAACACAAGGGCCACAGGTGAACACAATCAGATAACTAGACACACCAGGGAAACTAACGACAGGAGGAAAAACACAGGGAAAAGGACCAGACAATAACCCAGGAGGAAAACATGACAGAGAGAACAGCAAAAACACCCAAACCTAGACATAGAAATGTGACATGACATGAGAATCGTGACAGAACCCCCTCCTCAAGGGACGGATTCTAGACGTCCCTAAACACCAAAACAAAAATCCGGAGGACGGGCCTTGGCTGACAGCCCAGGGCAAGGCAGAGTTCGAAGAGGGGGTCTCGGGCGGACGGCCCGGAGGCAAGGCAGAGTTCGAGGAGGGGGTCTCGGGAGGACGGCCTGGGGCAAGGCAGAGTTCGAGGAGGGGCGAAGACCACAGCGGGCGAACTCAGGGGACCGGGCTCGAGGGCAAGGCAAGGCAAGTTTATTTATATAGCACTTTTCAACACAAGGCAATTCAAAGTGCTTTACAAAAAATGAAAGACATTAAGAAAAAGGCATTTAAAATCAGTCATTAAAAAGAAAAGCTAATAAAATAAACATTAAAAGAAAAAATACATGGATAAAAGTTACAGTGCAGTCTAAGATATGAATAGTTCAATTAAACATTAAAAGAAAAAGTACATGGATAAAAGTTACAGTGCAGTCTAAGATATAAATAGTTTAATTAAAAGCAGCGACAAAAAGAAAAGTCTTCAGCCTGGATTTAAAAGTAGTCAGAGTTGCAGCGGACCTGCAGGTTTCTGGGAGTTTGTTCCAGATATTTGGAGCATAATAACTGAACGCTGCTTTACCATGTTTAGTTCTGACTCTGGGGACAGAAAGCTGACCAGTCCCTGAAGACCTGAGAGATCTGGATGGTTCATAATTTAGCAGGAGGTCAGAAATGTATTTTGGGCCTAAACCATTCAGTGCTTTATAAACCAGCAGCAGTATTTTGAAATCTATTCTTTGACACACAGGAAGCCAGTGTAAAGACTTCAGAACAGGAGTGATGTGATCCACTTTCTTAGTGTTAGTGAGGACTCGAGCAGCGGCGTTCTGAATCAGCTGCAGCTTCCTAATATGTTTTTTAGTGAGACCTGTGAAGACACCATTGCAGTAGTCGAGTCTACTGAAGATAAAAGCATGGACAAGTTTTTCCAAATCCTGCTGTGACATTAGTCTTTTAATCCTAGATATATTCTTTAGGTGATAGTAGGCTGATTTAGTAACTGTTTTAATGTGACTGTTGAAACTCAGGTCAGAGTCCATGACTACACCTAGATTTCTGGCTTTATCTGTTGTTTTGAACATTGCAGACTGAAGCTCAGCGCTCACTTTTATACGTTCTGACTTGGCTCCAAAAACCATTACCTCAGTTTTATCTTTGTTTAATTGGAGAAAGTTCTGACACATCCAGTCATTGATTTGTTCAATGCACTTACTCAGTGTTTGAATTGGAGCATAGTCTCCTGGTGAAATTGTTACGTACATTTGTGTGTCATCTGCATAGCTATGGTAACTTATTTTGTTGTTTTTCATTATCTGAGCCAGTGGTAGCATGTAGATGTTAAAGAGAAGAGGCCCCAAGATGGATTCTTGAGGAACCCCACATGTCATATTTGTCAACTCAGATGTGTATTTACCTATAGAAACAAAGTTGTTTCTGTCCTTTAAGTAGGATTCAAACCAATTTAGAACTGTTTCCGAAAGTCCCACCCAGTTTTCCAGTCGATCTAGTAATATGCTGTGGTCAACAGTGTCAAACGCAGCACTGAGATCTAATAATACTAACACTGAAGTTCTGCCACTGTCTGTGTTTAAGTGGATGTCATTAAAGACCTTTACAAGAGCAGTATCAGTGCTGTGGTTTGGACGAAAGCCTGACTGGAACACATCGAAACAGTTATTTAAATGCAAGAAGTTACTCAACTGTTGAAAAACAACTTTTTCAATGATTTTACCTAGAAATGGGAGGTTTGATATGGGCCTGTAATTGTTCATTACTGAAGCATCTAGATTATTCTTTTTTAAGAGCGGTTTAATGACTGCAGTTTTCAGGGCCTGTGGAAAAATACCTGAGTGAAGAGATTTGTTTACTATATGAAGTAGATCTGAGGCCATGCAAGGCAAAACATCTTTGAAAAATCCTGTTGGAATAATATCAAGGCAGCAGGAGGAGGATTTCAGAAGTTGTATAATGTCCTCTAGGTTTTTATCATTAATCTGATGGAATTGTGTCATGGTGTTTGAATTGATGTTAAGTGGACACAGAGACAACACATTTGCTGTTCCTGATGCAGAGGCACTGACTGCTTGTCTGATTTTCTGAATTTTGTCAGTGAAAAAGGAGGCAAAATCATTGCACGCCCTGGTGTATAGAAATTCAGAGGCTACTGACACTGGGGGGTTAGTTAGTCTGTCGACGGTAGCAAACAAGGCACGTGCGTCGTTTTTGTTTTTGGTAATGATGTCAGAGAAGAACGATTGTCGTGCGTTTTTCAATTCCAAATTATAAAGGCCAAGTCTCTCTTTATAGATTTCAAAGTGAACCTGGAGATTTGTTTTTCGCCACCTGCGTTCAGCTTTTCGACATTCTCTTTTTTCTGTTTTCACGCTCATGGCCTTTCTCCATGGAGATATTTTCTTGCCAGACACTTCCTTTACCTCAGTTGGAGCAATGGCATCTATAACATTTTTAATTTTTGAATTAAAATGATCTACTAGCTCATTTACTGAGATGTTAGCAGGGGCAAGTGTGGAAGAAAAATTCTGAGTAAACATTTCCCTAGTATTTTCAGTTAAATATCGCTTTGTGGTTACCTCTTTTTGAACATTTTTGTGAACAGAAATAGAGCTCTCAAAGAAAACACAGGAATGGTCAGAGAGTGCAACATCAGTCACCACAACCTTAGAGATATTCAGACCCTTTGAGATAATTAAGTCCAGAGTGTGCCCCTTATTGTGCGTGGGCTCCGTCACATGCTGAGTCAGTCCATAGCTATCAAGAACACAAAACAGTTATTTTGCCCCTCTGTCCTGGGGGTTGTCAACATGGATGTTAAAATCACCAACAATGACTAGACGGTCAAAGTCAATACACACTATAGACAGCAGTTCAGTAAAGTCATCAAAAAAGCTTGCACAGTATTTGGGTGGTCTATATATATTTAGGAACAGAGCTCGAGAGGAGAATTTCAGCTGAAGGGCCACATATTCAAAATAATCAAAGTTTCCATACGATGTCTTCCTGCATTGAAGGGAATCATTGAACAGAATAGCAACTCCACCCCCTTTCTTATGCATTATTTCCTGACTCATAAAACTAAAGTTGGGAGGGGTTGATTCGATAAGAACAGCTGCACTGTTATTTTGTTCAATCCAAGTTTCTGTTAAAAACATAAAATCGAGATTGTGCTCAGTGATAAAATCATTGATTAAAAATGTTTTTCCTGCCGACCTGACATTTAATAAAGCTAGTTTAAGTTAGTTAAACACACTATCAGTCATGTTTTTTGTAACAAGCTGTGGCTGACATGGAATCACTGCTAAATTAGATAAACTCACACAAATGTTTGAGCGCTTCCTGTATCTAAGATGATTCAC